CGGTTCCCATGCCGTCCGCTATCAAGAATGTGTATAGTTTATAGCTAAATGCCGAATATTAGATGCTTTAAAAAACTTACCCAAGGCGGTTCGTTGCATGTGTCCCGTCCACATTTACTACATTTGGAAAGCGTCGGAATAACGCTATATGCTGCCATCGGGAGAAACATATGTGGCTACAGTGACCTTCCTCTCCCTGACACACAAGGACGCGTCCGGTCTCCCGCAGTTTTGCCAGGACCGAAGGCATATCATCTGCTACACTAAAACCCAACCATTCGGCACCTACTCAACATAGCAGGTCGACACTTGCGGCGGTAGTTGTGTATATCCTTAGTTGTAAGAATCTTTCCGAATTCATCCGCCACAAACTGCCGCACCTCAGATGACGGCGTCCCATATCTCAGCAGGGCCTGTTATGTGCCCAACTCGTCTTCGGTAAGGCGTCGATTGACTGGAAGCCGATCGTACAGGAATTTGACAGCTTGCGGTTGTGTTCCAGAAAAGAAGCGGTCACTGCCGGTTGGTACCTTTGGCTCCGTAGACAAAACCGCACTGGACAGCTGGTGCTTCGCGCACTTTTTTGTTAGAAAATACACTCGGTTTATCAGCTTCTTCGGATTCCACGGCTTTCCGTTGGTCTTGGAGGGCGCCTGCTGCATTTGTAGTGCACCCATTGGTAACGCAAAATAGTGTTGTTGCTTCGATTACTGGATGAACGCACAAATATCACAAAGTTATCCTTCATGTATTCAATAAAGGTCTTCTCAAATGCCGTGAAAACGACACACCCACAGATATCTCAAAGAAAGCTACTTCCGAAGCCATAGCAGACGAAGTTCAAAGTCGAATGTGCGCCAATAACTTTCAGAACAGTTCGATTAAAACAAATCGCAGAAAAATGACGGCAGATGAGGGGATTTTCAGTCTGCGCATATATGGAAAGAAGTGCAATATTTTGACGTTAAACTTTTTGTTTCGCCCGCAGGGGTTTTGCAGAAAAATGCATTGTGCCTCTAGGCGCTGGCAAGCCTGTTTGTTTACTAATTCTGCATATAGTACGGGCGCTAACAGCTCCAATGTAAAAAGGATCTGAATCTAGGAAGGCGTTGTTTTGTCATTATTGGAAAATGCATTGTGCCTCTAGGCGCTGGCAACACTGCCTGTTTACTAATTCTGCATATAGTACGGGCGCTAACAGCTCCAATGTAAAAAGGATCTGAATCTAGGAAGGCGTTGTTTTGTTTGTCATTATTGGCAGCAGGGCGAATGCAGCCTATAAATCAAATAATTGTCAGTCATTTGATTCGGCAACGGTTGATTTGTGGTGGGAAGTAGTTGTTGGGGACATTAGTGGACACGGAACTCTGCAGGAAGATGATAATTCTTAGTTACCCAGGCCGAAATAGGCGGTTTCAATGAAGTACCTCTTCTTGAGGCCGACATAGAAGTCTTACCCGCGAGGCTGCGTTTGTTAGGGTCTTCTTTGCGGACCCTCCCATCAAGCAATTACTCAATAGTCTGACCTGCTTTTCTGCAGGGGGTTAGCCAAACTCGAGGGCACAAACACTAGGCCATTACCGTCTCACTCGTGATGCGGCCGGAGGTGCATTCAAAGTAGCACCGGACCCTTCGGTTTTAAGAGTATTTCAACCGTGTAGAATAACACGCCGGCAGTCACGCTCAGCGGTTGGGCGATTGGAGTGTGCGGAGTTTAGGGTGCACCAAACGAACAAATCAAGTAAAACGACCTGCGGACGTTTCCACGACTTTTTGCGTCTTCTATTTATTTGACCTTTTGGGTCCGCCAAGATTCTCAGTCTGCGTGGACAATATTGTGACTTGATGAACGTTCACGCGATCCTGTGTCTGCCCTTGGCTTCTTGCTCCACCCACCTCGGTATATCAGAAGGCAAGAAAGCTTTCGGCAGACCTTTACGGAGACAAAGGGAGATTATTCCAACCGTGTTTATGGGGTCGTCGCAGAATGTCCCACAAGATCGTGCTTGAATCTCCGTGAAGAGACGAGAAGCGTATAGCTGAAGATGCTCGATCGAGTTGACTGACATACTGACCAATTAGTGCATGCCTTTGTTTGGTCCGTGCCGCGCACGTGACCCATCTATCCAATTGACTTGAGCCTCGCTAATTAGGGGCCTCCGGATAGATACTCAGCCTAACTTGGCGTCGGATGGCGCGTCAGTCAGGAGGCATCCGTTTATGGCCCCCACAAAATTCACCATCCTCTCGTGGATCCAATATTTGGATAAGGTTTGTTCGGCTGTATTGCAATAAAAAAATTTGGCACTCAGTACCCCTTTGGATGTATGTTTCGGGTGGCCGTTACAATCCAACACGGGACCATCCAACAAACCGCGCATCCGAAGAGCCGGTTCTGATATGATATTTTGGCTTCAGAGTCCATCAG